CCCAAACCCAAAACCCAAACCCCAAACCCACAAAGCAAAGGTGATTTAAGTTTTTATTAATTTAAAAAAACCAAATCAACTGTATAAACAGTCTTAAGGAGTTTAAAAATGAATCGATATTTATAGCATATTTCTCATCTATTTAATTCCAATTTTGATATTATATAAGAAGAGATTCAATATTATTAAGCTGTTTGGATGACTTGTTTAAACTAAAAATGCTAGAATTACAATTTTGAAAATTATATCTATGTATGAGGAGATTTCAAAAATAAGAAGTAGTAGAAGAGCTCAAGTATAACTCTATGAATGTAAGCCGACACTAATATAGAAGACTCAGCAGAAGATTAGCTATTTGGCTCCGCGAATGACTTTGGGTAATAATTATTTTAAACAAAGATTTTGATTACTCATTTGTTCTCTATCCTTATTTGCTGCTGATAGGAATTATTTTAGGCTATACACTTTAATTATTAGTTTAGATTCTGATTAGATTAAGCGAGAGTAAATAAATAATAAAACTCATTAGAATATAAATAACACTTTGTTTTTGATATGGTTGTATTTAATGAGGTCCGAATAAAATTAATGTAATATATCTAGATCTGCTGAAAGAATACTTCTTTTAATTTATTAAAAATTGATTCTAAGGATATTTTCTTATTATTCAAGGTAATATAAAAAAGTTATGCATGAATTAAAGAATTATTTTTAAAATCAAATAAAACTTCATACTTTAAGGCATTTATAATAAAACGCCACAATTTAAAAATACTAAAAGGATGGACCAAATTCAAATTAATTCATTAGTTTACTCATATATGTAAATAAATCTACGAATCATCATTAATTATCAACTTTTTTAAGGCTTATTATAATAGACAATTTGAATGCTACCAAACTTATTAAAATATAAAAATCTAATGCAAGACAATATAGAATTTAGGTATTTGCTTACTTGACTTAAATATAAGTCTTTTCATCTAATAATGACTTACCTCCTTAAATTTTATTATTTAAAAAGGATATCTTAAACAATATTAAAGAGTTTTTCTTGAACAAGCTGAAAAGAGAGCTGAAATTGTTGAATTGGAGGGCTACTATTTAATTACATCAATAATTGACCTGGAAAGGTATCAAGTTAGCTTAAAATAACTTTAATTTTTCTTCAATAAATTAAGAATGTTTAGTGAGTAAAAATTTATATATATCATTTTAATTTCTATAATTGTTAGAATGTAGAATTTATTTTTTTTATTATAGAGCGAAGTGGATAATAATGGAGAAAAATGGCAAAATTGTTTTGGATGGGATTCTAATAAATTAAATAGTTCATGATTTCTTGTTCTTTTATTTATATTAAATCCTGTTTAACAAATTTCTCAATAAATAACAAAGAAATGTCAAATGATAGCTATGAATTATACATTAATAAGTTTCTCAAAATCCATATAAATAAGAAAGTTAAGAAGAAGGCCAAAATAACAATAGTTTTGATGTAACATTCGAAATTTAAGACGGTTAGCTAGAAAATATACCAAAAAAGCTATTTGGCATTTTAAATATGACAAAAAAATTAAAGAAAAACATATCAAAAGTTAATTAAGGCTTTGTTCAAAAGAAACAATTTGCTTTCAATTTTAATTAAGAAATTAATTATCTGTAAGGAGATTTTAAATACAACAGACAAGATCCCTAAAGAATAAAAAAATTTCAAAGATAGATAGTGATTGAATGTTACATACATATTCTAAATTAGGACCAAGTTTTATAAATTATATAGTTTATATATAATTCATATGTGTTTCTTGATTAGAATATCTAAAGCTTCTTAATTTATATTCATAAATGCCTTTAGTACTTCTAAGAATAATACTAATAGCGTCAATTCTAAAAATGAAAAATAAACTATTATACATTTGAATTTATATTAGTCAGAATTTTTCTTGAATCGTAATTTTCTAAAGCTTCTTCAAATCTGTTAATTTTAAATAGAGTATTAGCTAAAAAGTCATCCATTTTTAATTTTACCTTTATTAAAATAATACTCAGAATCTTCTAAATCTTTCTTAATTGCTTAATCAAAATTCATTAAAGTTACTTCAAATCCTTCCCTGTCTTGTAAAGAACACGCTAACCAAATTTCGATTTTATTACCCATAAAAAAATAGCTAAGTTGCTGAATTAGTTTCTTCCAATTTATTTATTTAGTTCTATCTTAATTTTTGGCTCATTTTTACTCATTACCCCCTATTTTTATTCTTTTTTATACGATTTAGCTAAAACCCACTTTTATTTACACATCAACATTTTTATTTTCCTCAAACCTAATGTAATTCCTGATGCTTTCGCTTGAAATATTTCTCTTGATAGCTAAGTCAGATTTATTAGATGCTAAAGGAATCGATTTGAACCTTCTTGTTTTATATTGATGCTTACTTGTTTAATATTTTTCGAATTTGATGCAAAATTCAATATTTAATTTATAAATAATTTTATAATCCTTAAGCAAAAACAGGCAAGAGTTTATAAAATTTTTATGTAAGGATTTAATTTTGGAAATTAATTGACTTATCTTTAACGATTACTTCAATCAAAATTAAAATTTCCATTGCATTTAAAAAGACAGATTTGTATCGAAGCCTGATTATAGCCATTTTAAATTAGTCAAAAAAGATCTGGATTGCTTCTAAGAATAAAATTACTTCGATAGAATTGATCCCTCTACTTGATTTTGCTTCTTAATCTGTAATATAAAGTTTGGAAAGCATGTTACACTTAGGATATTAATCCTCTCCATCCATCAATTAGGTAATTTGTGAACACTTAGCTAAGGGCATTGTAACTATATGAAGTTTGATACTTCACTCATTCAAGATTATATACTTGTCCAAATTCAAATCGTCCTACATGTTCATATCTTACTTTGAATATGAGTTAGATATGAAATGCCATCTAAAGATGTAAATAACTAAGTTCCTCCTTGGGTTAAAAACTATCATTTTAAATAAATTAACCAGAATACTACATGTGTGTAAATGTTGCAGGTTTCTTTAGGTTTATTCGTTTATAAAATGCATAAGTAAGAAGAATTTATTCTAAAATGATATATCAGTTTACCAAAATAATATTCTAGGTTAATTAAATATTATGATTTAAGAAGTTGTGATAACCTTTACAATTATAGGTACTTTTTAAGCAATTTTAATGGATTTTTTAAGGAGATACTCAAGTTATGGTTAAATGCCTGAGTTTTGTTTAGATTTGAAGAAAATTTGGGCTATTCTTATCCCTAGTAAAAACTGGATATAACTTTACTTTAAACTATTAGTCTTGAAGCTTGATTTTAGCTAAATTTCTTGTGGACAAAAATGTATTTGCAAGGTAATTTGATTATTTCAAGTATGTTTAAAAATTCATGTATAACATAAATAGATGTAAGAAAAGTAATTAAATGAAAAAGTTAAAAGTTAATTTTAAATTGTTAAAAAATTGTAAACATTATTATCGAAGATATAATCATATCTTTCGGTTTTTAGTGAAATGAATAATATAAATTTACATTTATTGCCTGAAAAATTGTGAATAAAGTTAATAGAAGATTACTGAATTTATCATTTAAAAATTCAAATATTGAAAAAAAAAACAATAAAATTTATATCCTAAATAAAATAAATGTATCTATGTCCTAAACATTAAATTAAACTCTCTCTCGATTCACAATTATTAAACAATTCTGTATGAGGTATAGTGAGATTTAATTTGTGTTCTTATTGATTAAATTAATAATTATTTTCAATAGAAGGTTAATTTAGATCTATAATTGAATATTAATAATCAAACTAATGGATTATATTATAAGAATTTACCCCCTTTTTTCCAGGGATCCTTCCTTACTTTTCCAATTTACGACGTCTGATTATTTTATTCAATAAATTCAAACTTTATTTTTTTCAAAATACAATTAGGATTCACATTACCCAACTTGATGTTTTATATAAACACTGAATTTCAAAAACACGGTTCAACAACTTACAGCAACAAAACACAATGTCCTAAAAATTTGGATCATACTAAATTCTAGTTAACACCAGTCAAGTTATATAAAAAGGTTTTAAATGTGCAAATGTTCAAGCTTCTAACCTGTACCGTTTCAACAAGATTTGAGCACTTATAAACAATAAGAGTATTGCAATGTCTTCTAAAAGCATAAAGTGACAGTCATTTTATTTGTTTTCAAAAATATGTCAAACATTTTTCACCTTATAATATGATAAGAGGCTAAAACCTTTCAAACAAAAAATATCATTTTAGATTTATTTCTCAATCTTTTGCTATCCTGTACCTTGCAGATATTCACAATATAAATTATGTCTTTCTTTAAATGATGAAAACAACCCTACAACTTCTTCTCTATGACTTTTAAGTCGAGAAACTACCTCACCAATAATTGCAATTTGTAATTCGAAACTCATTGATTAGCTGATACAAAAGGTATTATTTTAATATTTTTGTTTGTTCAAATTTCGATAAATGTTGAATTAAATATTATTCTGGCAACATCCCAATATCCGAATTTTTTTACTGTCTCTCATTCGCATCCAACTCCTTGATCTAACAGTATAGCCATTGTAGTTGAATGTTAAAGAAATAATATTTTAAATTGGTAACCACATTTTTAACAAAATCTAAAATTGCTTCTATCAATTGTGCCTGTAATCCTAATAGTATTTTTGTGCAAACTTAGAATCTCAATCTAAATATTATAAATCAGATTTTTAGGATGTATATAGTATAATTTTGAAATTTCAAAGTCAGGGTTTCATTAAAACAATTAAAAACATATTCTCCACTATAAATAAATATACAAAATAGAGAGCTAATATTTTTTTGCCAACTTAGAGTCACAATCTAATATCCTTAATCATCTAGGGTTTTCTTAGTCTCCTTTATGATTCATGATTTGATAAAAATAACTTTAATTATGAGAAAATAAGTGTTTTAATTGTGCATAATTATTTGCTGGCCAATCAGCTGAAACATTTATTAGCTATAGTTTAGGTGTTATTTAATTGACTCAAGAAATGAATAGTGCCATTAAGCAATGTTCGGGTTTGGGTTTGGGTTTNCTTCCCTTATTCCATGATTCTGCTGTTGGGGATCCTCATTTTTTCATTACAAGGGACTTCAAGAAAAACGCTGAAAAGTATTAAAATCTATCATGTGTTAGTACTATTGGATGATAGACGTCCTAATGGTTAATAATTCAAAGGGGGAATAGAACTTAGACTTAGTATAAAAATTATTAAATATTTAGCTTGCTAACTTTTGTATAATAATTCCATTGATGTCTCCTTAGTTAAATCTTATTACAAGTTTTGTGATTTCTGTAACAAGTAAAATAAGATGAAATTCAAGATCAACAGCAAAAAAGGTTATATTTGAATTTATTAAAGCCATGTTCAAATCTATATTCCCTTTTATCAACCAAAGGTAAACTTCTTATTATCTCCGGTATGATAACAATAACTGATAATTTATAGTTATAATTGATAAAACACTTGCAACTAGGTTAGTTTGAGGTAAATTGGTTAATTTTTTTTGAATAAGATTTACATATTCTTTTATGAAGATATATTATTAATAAACAAAAGAGGATTAATGAATTAAGTATTACAAATAGTCAGCGCTTAACCTTCTATTAAGAGTGCGCTTTAATGCTCTAATTAATTTATTAATGCGCCTAGTTCCCAGTTTAAATTTGAATAGTTAGTTTATCAAGGAAACGTATTGTTGTCAGCCATTAATATACTTTTTGAAATCTAATCTGATCACATAAAGAACTCTATTTTATTCTAGAAAAATTATAAATATAATTATGTTATTAAATAGTTTATTTAGATTTTATTACAATAAAGTAGTTTTTCTAAATTTGAAAAGATTTTAATAACTTATTTTTAAAAAGTGAAAAAAAATTAAATCGAATATCATAAAATCCATTAAAGTATGTTGAAGCCATATTTCATCATTTAGTTTATTTCCTTTTTGGCTTGTTACTCATGAATATTTTTTTTAACGCACTCAATTGTATAAATCTGTTGTGTGCGCAATCAATAATGGTTATACAAATATAATAAATAAAGGCATTTTCAAATAATACTCTATTGTTTATTGCCTTAATGAATTGAGACTATTCAAAATAAAATAAAACATTGAAATATAAAGTAAAAGAAGGTGAAATTTGTGAAAATTTAATAAGTATATGATAATCTAAAACTAATTCTTTTTGTTATTCAAATCGATCACATAATTATACATTTAAATAAAGTGCAAATATGCAGGATTAAATATTTACATCTCTGAGCTCAAGTTTCATAGATTAACCATTGTAGGATTCACACCTCTGAATTGTTCACGGCCTCAGTCAAGCTTGAGCCTCATTGAAACGACTAGTTTTCAGTGTGAAATACAGTGGTCTTTCAGCTTTTAACCACCCTTTTGGGGAATGGAAATAAGTTTTTTTTTATTACCCCAAATTAATATTCTCAACTTGAAAAAATTATTGTTCCAGTTAGGACAAATCCTGAGAAATAATTAAGTGGGAGTGTAACACTCGCTCTCATGCATTTTTATATGAAGCTTTAGTTGATAAAATTCCAGAACATAAATATAAATTTATTATTGAAAAATATCAAATAATCAGGATAAACAAATCATAAGAATAAATTCAATCAGACTTCATATTTAACGATTTATGGTATTGCAGCATGAGTATTTTTACTTATCTGAATTCAAATATCAAGAAAAAAAAGGATGTTAAATTACTTACTATTTTGATATCATTTTTCTAAATAATTTTGCTCAATATTTTCCTCAATTATATTCATATAAAATTTTATTGTTTTTTTTTAGTTAAAATTTAATTGGCATTATTTGCAAAGGATACAATTTTGATTTTTCATCAAAACCTTTAGGTTGATTGTTAATGTAAATTGATTTTACCAAGTAATAGAAAAACTCTCCAGAAAATTATATTTAGAAAATTTTCTTATTTTCAAAAGATCTGGTTAATTAAAATCACTCATAAATTAAAACAAATGAACTTCTTGGGTACCCTGTATTATAGCAATATCAATACCTTGGTCTCATTTTTAATAATATGGGAAAAATATTACCAATATTAAAAATTTACAATGTAATTTATAACAAAAAAACTTTTTTGGATATCTAAACGATTTAGTTGGTAATTCCAAATTTAATTATGGAAATTTTATATACAGTCACACTTCAAATATAGAATCCCCTCTAAATCTACATAAAAATATCAAAATGCTTTAATTGCAATCAAGAAATTATACCGAGAGCTTCAAAAATTGTGCAGTACCAAAAAAATTTGCCTTAGTTTGTATTGTCTTAACTCCTACCAACTATTGAAACACTGATAGTTTAAAAAATAGAATAAGTGAACTATAAAATGCGGAAGAGGAACCTTATAATACAAAAAAGTGACAGCCAAAACATATGTTACCTAGAACTGTAAATCAATAAGAAAGTATTTACAAGTGATTATTTAAGATGAATTTTAAATCTTTTCGATCTATAACTCTCCACAGTTATATTAGCACCTACTCTACCACCACTCTAAGTTTTATGACTTTGAAACCATAATAGAGAATTTAATTATAAGTAAAAAACAACAAAAAGCTTATAAGGAGATAATTATAGGATAATTACAGAATCAGCTAGACTTGCCCAACCGGATGATGAATGATTATTATATTAAATGTGTGTTAATTACTAATAATTCTACTTCATTATCTCCTCTTAATTGTTAAAATTTTGATACCATTCCTTAATCGCTTACAAATTCGCTTTCATCTATTAAGAATCTTATTGGCTTAAAATTCAGATATCTAAATTAATTATATTTTAATACTTTCCAATTATTTGTAATTCTTCATCTTCATACCCTATTTTTACTTTTGCAAATGATTTATTTAATATAGTTGCTAAATCAAGTATATCTTAATTGAATTTAATGATAAAACTTTTAGATCTTTTTTGCAATTAGAATGATTATGAGGATCACATCCTCATTATAGACAGAACTAAGGTCTTGAATCCTAGCATCCAAAATTTAAACAAAATCTTTATATAGTTTCTCCTTCATGAGCTATATTTTAACAAGTAAGTATTTCATTGAATAAAATTATTTTAAAATTTGATTAGGTATGTTAAAATGCCATTTTTAATAAATATTGATATTTTCAGGTATTCATTTCATTTCATATTTTATTAGCAAATTTAAAGAAGAAATATAGGCTAAATGACGAAAGAAAATCTAATATCATTGTCTTTATGCATCAACTCTATTTAATTATATTCTAGAAAGTGAGAATACCCTTACTGCTCATTAAATATAAGGATATTTATAATATTAACTTCTACTTTTTATTTCTCTATTTGACCATCATGACTAGATAATTAAGACTGAATTTAGATTTTTCCTATTACTAATTATGAATCTCTTGAAAAATATCTTCAGCTATTTGATCCTCATTAAATTGTTTTAATATAGAGAATTATTAATTTATTGCGTTAAGTCTTTGGTTTGTCCTTTTATACACAATTAAAAATATGATTAAAATACCAATAATTAATTGATATCGTTAGCTAAAGGATAAATAAATTAATCCGTTTAGCCTTATAATTCTTATCAAAACAAAGCCTTGCATTCAAAATAATTAATTATGATTTCATCAAACAATATCTTTTACAAGGTAACCCATAATGCTAGTGTAAAAGGAAATAGCTTAATAGTTTATTGTCACGTCTTATATTCTCTCTAATTGACTTTCGTATGATTGGATGTTATGAGATTATATTATGAATTAAATATATTCTCAATTATATTTTTATATTCCAAACCTTAATATTAATACACTTAATTGAAAGTGGGGTGATTTCATTCCAAATTACCATTCATGTTCTCTATTATAATTCATATCTACAACTGATATTTATATTAAGTTAATTTTATTTCATTCAATTTTCCATTTATGAAGAAACACCTTGAGTTAATTGGCCTATTTTTTTATAATTAAAATGCTTCTGTTAACATCTCTCCATAAAAATATAATGAATTGCGCAATAATTGTTGTGAAATTAACGATAGAACCCTCAGTTTTTTATTGTCTTACAAGAAATATCCAATGTTCCAAATTCATAATTTAATATTTTAAATTATATTAATTAACAATTTCAATATAAAATAATAAAATATATGATTAAATAACTGTAATGATTTGAATATTCACTCTTCGTCATTCTTAATGATATTTTCTAATTTTAATTTCCTTTGATTTATCATCCCAAGTGATCAAATACTCTTCATCTTCGCTCATTTATCCCATTAGAAATCTATGTCCAAAATCAATTGATTAATGCGCTATAAAATCGGGATTTTGGTTTTTCCGTATCAAATTAACATGGTTACCATTCTTATTAACAATCAGACATTTCAAATTTATATATTATTAAGGGAAAAAATCTTCACAAAACAAATTACCGCTTTTTAAAGGAATATATTTGGTCTTTGCATACTATTGATTAGTACTACTCATCTCATAAACATGCATGTTAATAGGGTTATATATAGCAGGGTCATTAAGAACCAAACCCAGTAATTGTAAGTCTAAAAAGTTGAAGACCTTATATTTCTGTGATATTAAATAAAATAATTATGGATTTTAGTGATGATTAATAAAACAACTCATTTTATTTAGATAAGGATGTCCTTTAAACATCATTTTTGTCGATTTTAAAACACCTTAACTTATATAATTTAATTTTCATCATGGAAGTGGAATGTATTTTCCATTGTATTTAAAAAAAGTGAAAAAATTTTATAGATTACTCCCAAAAGAGGAAAAAATATTTAAATAGCAGAAAAAGACAATAAAATCATGTATCAAAAGGAGAATTTTGAAGATATAATAAATGACTTCGTCACATTCAAAGAAAAAAATATTTTCTTCTGATATTTACGATTCAGCTATAAAGAATAATTTAGTTGATTCTAAATATTATTCTTTTCATCAAAATATATCTCAAGACATATAGTTAAGCAATAAACAAACTAATAAAGAAAGGTTTCGTGAAATTAAGTTAATTGAAGATGCTTTAGAATTTAATGTTTTAGAAAAAAATCAAGAAGATTCTGAGTATTATTTTAATAAAGGTATAATTCAAAATGAAGGATATTTTAGCTAATACATTATATAAAATAAACAGATTTGAAGAAGCCTTACAAAATTATGATTCAGCGATATACAAAAATCCAAAAGATTCAAGATATTATTTTAATAAAGGTATAATTCAAACTGTATAATATTTAGCTAATACTTTAAATAGAATGAAAAGATTTTAAAAAGCTTTAGAAAATTATGATTCAGCAATACAACAAAACACAGAAAATACTGAATATTATAACGGCAAAGGTATAATTAAAAAGAGATGGTATTTAAGCAAATACGTTATATGAAATAAACAGATTTGAAGAAGCTATAGAAAATTATGATACAGCAATAAAAAAAAATTCAGAAGGAGGTTCTAGATATATTTTTAATAAAGGTAAAATTCAAAATAGATGATATTTTAGCTAATGCATTATATAAAATAAACAGATTTGAAGAGGCTTTGTAAAATTATGATTCAGCAATATAAAAAAACCCAGAAGATTCAAGATATTATTATAATAAAGGTTTAATTAAATATTGAAAATATCTTAGCTATTACATTAGATAAAATGAACAGATTTGAAGAAGCTTTGGAAAATTATGATGCAGCAATACGAAAAAGTCCTGAAGATTCAAGATATTATAATGGAAAAGGTATAATTTAAAAAGAATGATATCTTAGCTATTACATTAGATTAAATGAACAGATTTGTAGAAACTTTGAAAAATTATGATACAGCAATACAAAAAAATTCAGAGGATTCAAGATATTATTACAATAAAGGTTTAAATTAAATATTGAAGATATCTTAGCTATTACATTAGATAAAATGAATAGATTTGAAGAAGCTTTGGAAAATTATGTTTTAGCAATACATAAAAATCCAGAAGATTCTAGATATTATTACAATAAAGGTTTAATTAAATATAGATGATATTATAGCTATTACATTAGATAAAATGAACAGATTTAAAGAAGCTTTGTTAAATTGTGATTCAGCAATATAAAAAAATCCAGAAGATTCAAGATATTATTATAATAAAGGTTTAATTAAATATGGAAGATATCTTAGCTATTACATTAGATTAGATGAACAGATTTGAAGAAGCATTGGAAAATTATGATACAGCAATACGTAAAAATCCTGAAAATGCTGACTATTATAATGGCAAAGGTATCAATTTAAAATTTATGATTTATTAGCTATTACTCTAAAATAAATGAACATGTTTTAAGAAGCTTTGGAAAATTATGATTCAGCAATACAAAAAAATCCAGAAGATTCAACATATTATTACAATAAAGGTTTAATTAAATATGGAAGATATCTTAGCTATTACATTAGATTAGATGAACAGATTTGAAGAAGCATTGGAAAATTATGATGCAGCAATACGAAAAAGTCCTGAAGATTCAAAATATTATAATGGAAAAGGTATAATTCAAAAGGATGATATTTTAGCTATTACATTAGATTAAATGAACAAATTTGAAGAAGCTTTGGAAAATTATGATACAGCAATACATAAAAATCCTGAAAATGCTGGCTATTATAATGGCAAAGGTATCAATTTAAAATTTATGATTTATTAGCTATTACTCTAAAATAAATGAACATGTTTTAAGAAGCTTTGGAAAATTATGATTCAGCAATACAAAAAAATCCAGAAGATTCAACATATTATTACAATAAAGGTTTAATTAAATATGGAAGATATCTTAGCTATTACATTAGATTAGATGAACAGATTTGAAGAAGCATTGGAAAATTATGATGCAGCAATACGAAAAAGTCCTGAAGATTCAAAATATTATAATGGAAAAGGTATAATTCAAAAGGATGATATTTTAGCTATTACATTAGATTAAATGAACAAATTTGAAGAAGCTTTGGAAAATTATGATACAGCAATACATAAAAATCCTGAAAATGCTGGCTATTATAATGGCAAAGGTATCAATTTAAAATTTATGATTTATTAGCTATTACTCTAAAATAAATGAACATGTTTTAAGAAGCTTTGGAAAATTATGATTCAGCAATACAAAAAAATCCAGAAGATTCAACATATTATTACAATAAAGGTTTAATTAAATATGGAAGATATCTTAGCTATTACATTAGATTAGATGAACAGATTTGAAGAAGCATTGGAAAATTATGATGCAGCAATACGAAAAAGTCCTGAAGATTCAAAATATTATAATGGAAAAGGTATAATTCAAAAGGATGATATTTTAGCTATTACATTAGATTAAATGAACAAATTTGAAGAAGCTTTGGAAAATTATGATACAGCAATACATAAAAATCCTGAAAATGCTGGCTATTATAATGGCAAAGGTATCAATTTAAAATTTATGATTTATTAGCTATTACTCTAAAATAAATGAACATGTTTTAAGAAGCTTTGGAAAATTATGATTCAGCAATACAAAAAAATCCAGAAGATTCAACATATTATTACAATAAAGGTTTAATTAAATATGGAAGATATCTTAGCTATTAGATTAGATGAACAGATTTGAAGAAGCATTGGAAAATTATGATGCAGCAATACAAAAAAATCCAGAAGATTCAACATATTATAATGGAAAAGGTATAATTTAAAAAGGATAATATTTTAGCTAATTCATTAGATTAAATGAACATGTTTTAAGAAGCTTTGGAAAATTATGATCCAGCAATACATAAAAATTCAGAGGATTCAAGATATTATTACAATAAAGGTTTAAATTAAATATTGAAGATATCTTAGCTATTACATTAGTTAAAATGAACAGATTTAAAGAAGTTTTGCAATTTTGGGACGTACTAATTTAAAAAACTCCAGAAGATTTCACATGTTATTTTAATAAAGGTATAATTCAAAATAGATGAAATTTTAGCTACTACATTATATAAAATAAACAGATTTGAAGAAGCTTTGCAAAATTATGATTCAGTAATACATAAAACTCATGAAAACGCTGACAATTATAATGGCAAAGGTATAATTTAAAATTGATGATTTATTGGCGATTATATTGGTAAAAAAATTATTTATAACATAATTTTTTGAAATATTTCAAAATTTTTTATATTTTTTTATCTGATAATTCTTCTTAACACAATTTGGAGTATTTATCATTTAGCAAGAAATCAAAACTTCTCGTTTGAGTATTAGATTTCTGATCTACTCAAATTTTTATTCCTTCTTTCCACACTCATTAAGAATGCAAAGAAATTGCCTTTACAGTTAATGTCTTTTAGGTAAAAAAAAAATTGAAAATCAATTGATATGCTGAATTTTGGAGAAAAATGGTTTATAGTCATACTTATTGTTTATTAATATGTAATTGAAAATGTGAGATCATTATATATACACTCTTACCTATACTAATTTAATCATTTTTTAATTTTTGAACAATTTTTATATTATATTGCATTGTCTTATTGCATTAATTGGCAGATCCTTTTGGCTATTGAGCTTTTTGAACTGAATAAATAAATCTTAATTAAAATATTATTTTTTGAAAAAAATAAAGGGATCGGAATTAACAAAATGGATAACAATCGATTACCTTATCAGAATAAAAATTTAATTTGTCGAATAAAATTTTATTTTATATTGATACGCGCTTCAGAATAAAGATTGTTTTTAGCCTTTTTAAGGAGCTGAGTGAGAATTTCGATCAAGATTTGATGAGCTTTCATTGCTAACTAAATCATAACATAACTATATATAGATTAAAATGCCAATTCAAAAATCAACTAAATGTTATATAATAAAAAATATAAAAATATTATCTAAAGATTTTACTATTTATATCAGTTAGTGAAATTGTTGATTCGAATGATTAGGGGGTGGTAGTAACAGCGAATTTAAACTGCACTTAGTTGTTTAATAGTCAGATTAATTTAGTAACCTCTGCTTGCTAGTTTTAGCACATCTCCACACTTCTTTATTTTAATTTCTAGTTATTTTTACTAATTTTTAGTAATCCTATTTAATTAATGCTAGCGAAGAATTTTATAGTTTTATGTAAATCCTCCATTATATTCTATCTTATGCTTCTTTCTTCATATTTATGATAAAAGCTCTGATTATACTTATTATACACTTAGCAAAGCTGACACTAGACCTAGATTAGTCATTATTCTTTGTATCAAACCCACAATGTTTTGGTATCTTAAAATTCCCATCCCCTAGTTTTTACTACGCTTGCCTAAGTTTAACTTTAATTTATAACTTTGTAATATCACTAAGCAAGCAACTGAATGTACTGAATATGATGATTTGTTTATTGGCTGTAACAACCATCATATTTTCACTTTATAAATCGTATATTTTTCTATTTAATTCTACTTCCACTGATTCTTCTAGATTCAGGAGTGTGTTTTCCATGCACATATCATATTTATCTGCCGAATGAATCCATTTATTTCTCCTTAATTCCAAACAACTATTTATCATCTCATTAATCGACTAAATATGCTTACCCATACTTAAATTACTTAAGTTACATCTAATATTTCTTAATCTTGTGTATCTGAATTTTATCTAGTGTTTGATAAATCCATCCACCAGTTCTTTGAGCTGTTATTAATTAAAACACTTTGCATGTAAGCCATGTTTACTGAGATCGTTTTTAAACTTCTGATGCATATTTTAAACACGAATCAAATATGATTTCAATACCAGTCACTTAATGTATAAGTCAATGCGTTTGCAAACTTTGTAATGTTATATATTGTCTTTCTATTAATGCAGACATCATTTTTAATTGGATGATCATCCTGAGTTAAACTATAACTGGATTCAGTTTGGTGGACAACAGGCAATTTTTAGAATCTAATTTATTATTTTCACTGGGCCAACTGTCGAAACTAAAAATGTAGTGCTTTAAGATCATACTTATTGAATGATCAAGTAAATTGCTTATTTAGGTCATGTAAATGCTCTACTGAGTGTTTTCTTTACATTCTCAAAATATATCACTAACCAAAAGGCTATTGTTACACATCTACTTATGCGATACAGATTGGAATATATGTTGACTGCATTGACCAATATAGACAGTAATATTACTCTTAGGTTTTATTTCGATTAGACAATAAATGCTTCTAATAAGTGTTTCATCTCTATTAAGAGATAAACCTTCATCTATTATTGTTTGGGAGACACTTGTTGTATTGTACTTCAGGGTGCCTTAATTATATGTTGATTTCACCCTTCAACTTATAAGATTAAAATTAATAGTGTAAACTCCTTGCCATAATCTTTACTCCACCTGCTCAATATGAAGGATAAAACAAATTTGTTCTTAGTTGCACCTATTGAAATTTTAGTACTTGAGGATAATAGGAAGGCCAATAGCATAAAAATGTCATCTCTCTTCAATACTATTGAGTTAGAGTTAAAGATTTACACATTATTTGTGCCGAGCATAGAATAACTAAACTATATTATAATAGGCGCAGTTAAATATTGATGCAGGTCAAGATTTTGTATCAGCCTTGACAGAAGCAAATACAGTATAATTATCAGACCTTTCAGAACAAGCAGGTGAAACATACCATGAATCCGTAATCAATAAGCTTAGAGAAGCATCGCACAAACTCAATGACATCTAATACTATTAGCAAGGTGATAAAGCATTAAATTGAAGCCAAACAAACAATTTGAACAATTGGCCTAGGATATACAGCAGTCAATGTATCATCAAAGCATAATGGTTGTAATTTTTGTACAGGATGAATCACGATGTGATAAATATACTCCAGCATCTCACCAGCTTATAATTCTAAGTTGTTTTCACAGCGCCAAGTCAAGTGCTGCAGTTAAAGGGACAATTTACTGCATTTAAATCAGGATCTTTTGCAAGATTGGCCATCAGTACCTTTTATACTGGTATTGGTATTTTTTACAGAATTTTAGGCAAGTATCACCTGATAATTGCTACTAAGGACAAAGAGTTATCAGTAATAAATTAGTTTAAAAAAATATTTAATGACTCTCCAGAACAGCTGACTTGCTTCAATGGAACAAAAAAGAAGAGCTGTAAGATATAAATCGGTAACAAGTGCTTAAATTTAAACAGTAAGCCCTATCTACACAAAGTGAACAATCAAAGAGTGAGTTATTGAAATTTAACATGATAAACCACTTAATGATAATAAAAGAATCTGCCTGCAAAAATCTAGATTTTTTAAATGGATTCTGTAGTAATTTAGAGAGTCTATAAATAGCATCTACTAAGGAAATATTATGATTAATAGGAAATTGAAACTTGATGTATTACAATTTCCCTTATGAGCATGATATCCAGTGACACAAGGTATACAACAGCTATAGTATAAGTATATGTTCCTAATAAAAAGGGAAATTATTTCAAAAATATGAGTATCCATTTAATACATATAGTAAAGGAAATTATGGCGTGAATATAAATAGAAACCATTTTTACCACATTGATTACATAGTTAAGCTTGGTATCTATTGTTATATGATTATTAAAAATATATTATCTTTGATACCATTTGCGATTAACACTAAACAAGAATTAAATTGGATTGTAATCATCAAATAAAAATAACCTAAACCTCAGCAAATATTTGGCAAAAATCTTTGAAGTTGAACAGGCAATCTCTTAAAATAATGTGACTTTTCAATCATTATAAAATAAAAGAACATTTTTAAGCAAAGAATGTAATATAATATAGTTGAAAAAGTTATAAGCTACTTGCTTCAAATACCATGCATAAAGTACATGGGATAATAGCTGTAAGAATGAACCAGAATACTGAATCCCTCCCAACATAAATCTGGATGTATTAAGCTCTAAGATATGTAAGCAAATCAACAACATAGACATTATATCTTATACAAGGCGACTGACCAGCTCTATAAAGAATATTGAACAATTGCATGCTCAATCAAAATAGAATAGTGAGAACAAAGCAATAACTTCTCTGAAGTTATGAACAGAGATTTCTTACGGGATGGAGCAAAAATGAACTATATGCTTTAGACAACCATTGTAATGTCCAAGCACAATATTCAGATATACTTCTTATGATAGATGAAGGGCTAAATCATAGAAGTATTTAAAATGTCAACACAAGTTTCAAGACTCAAGCTTGAAATTTAGTTTACAATGTTGATTTCTACTAATGATTAGAGGCTAGTTTTAGTACAAGAGAGTGAAAACAGGCATCACAACCACATAAGTATGGAAATAGCTTCAGTTATCCATCAATCTCTGAGTATCGTCAAACATGATTGTTAGATTAAAAATTTCATACACAGCTACTGTCTAAAGGAATCCATCTCTACTGCTTGAGCAACTTTAAAGGGAGTACCTATGGATTGCTAGTATTTCCATTTAGATTTAATCCCAAGAAACGGTTAGTTGTTTTCGTAAATATCTCAAATTAGTAGGATTATTAATTTGTATAAGAATTAGCATTCTTGTAATTTTTGAATATATTAAGTTTTAATTGTGGAAATATTCACACTTTACAAAAGTTCTTTAATTCAATTTACAATATTTGTATTATTATTATTAATATATCTTACTGACGATATTACTTTTAAATATCAATAGAGAAATATAATTAAAGTGTAAATTATTTATTGAATTTTTTAACAAAACGCTATATATCTATTTATCGTTAAATGGTTTTTTGAAATTAAAAAAAAACATAAATATTGCCTTCAAATAATTCAATACTTTTTAATTTTTAGAAAATAATTAAATGAAGAATTTGTCTCCAAAAAAAGCGATTTTTGAATCTTTATTTTCACCTTTTTCCTATTTGTACTGTATTTTATAGACAAAATAGCATTAAAAGCTATCTTAAGTTATTAATCTTATATCTACTTTCAAGGCTAGTAACAAAAAAAAAATCAGCTACAACTTAAAATTTTTCTTTTTCAAATTTCCAGTAAAAATATACCTTATAAAATTCTCACTCTCCTTATTGATGTGTTAATATTGTTCTGTCATTTCTAAATCTATACATTTTATACTAGAGTGCCCTAAGGCTTATTGGGATTTGATGAAGGTGGACAATTAGTTATCAGGCATTTCTGTCATCAATTTATTCAAGATTAAATGCAGTTCATGTTAAACAACTTAGCCCAAATCTTTTACTCACTAAATCAATATAGAAAAGCTTAATCAAATTGTTGGGTTTAAGAAATTTGTAAAAGATATCTTATTAAAACTTTTTTGGTTTACTTCAACAATAGGTCAATTAATAAATTGTCAACTTGATTTAATCAATACCAAATTCAATATCAATTACTAATTCTTATTTATTTATCTTAATTTTTTAAATAAAAGGACAAATTAAGATCTTGAATTCTAACATACTCAATATTTAATTTATAGTAATCTGGTCATCTTTCCATCAAAAGCTTTATTGTTAGCTAATTTAAGACAGACTTAAGGCGAAATCCCTGATTTCAAAATCCAGCATAACTATTGACTAAGGAGAAAATCTCATATCAGTTAACTTCTTTACAAAAAATTTCTTACAAATGAATCAATTTCTTAATTATATGGGCTTAGTTAAATAATTTACATACTTTTTTTTAATAATGTTTTGTTTAATAAATAAGTAAATAGATTAAAGGTTGACTTATGAAAAATAATTTATAATTAAATATAATTAATATTCACCTCCAAATTATATTGTTTAGCTTTAAATCTCAATATATACTAATAATCTTCCTCCTTTCGAAAATTAATAGTATTATGCAATAAACCTAAGAAAATTATTTTACCTAAAAAAAGTTAAGATTACAGACATCTTGAAAGGATTTAATCACTAATTCATATACTTACTTCCAAACTAATATTATTATTGCCAATAGCATGAAATCACATTTAATTAACAGATCCAGATTTCAGTTGTCTGACCTTAATAGTTCTGCTCCCTCTTTGTATAGTTTATATTAAAATTCTGTTTCAAATATTTCTTAAACCTAATTTAAACAATTCAAAGATAGCTAACTGAAAACTAAAAGTCTCAATTGATAGAAAATAAATAGAGAGTTTTCCCTCATCCGAAGAAAATATATGATCCTAAATTTAAGATTTAAAATAGAAAGATTTTAGTCCTCTTTTCCATCACTCACATTACAGCATATATAAAAAAGAAGTCTCAATATTTTCTTAATCAAGCTAAAATAATTTAAAACTGTTTACTAAAAATCTTTCATTTTTTTTACAGGTAATGAATATTCATTAGTTTTATTCTAGATTATGTCATACAAATTGTGTCTGATACTGACTCAGCATCTGAAAATACTTGAATCTTTTCAGCCTTATTACCTAAAAGAAATACAAATTTTTTTGTGACAATTATATAGAAACGCTTTTCACTTTTACATAATTTAATGGTGCTTATGCTGGAAAAAAATTGAAGATTTTCCAATTTACTAAAGAATATTTAAGCATTAGAAATTATAGATGTACATTTAGTAATCTTTTATTGCACTTACCCTACAAATAGTTTCATTATGTGTAATTGCAAAACAGTTCTTTGTTATATGCTTCCTTCCTAATAAATTTGTGTCTATTGTTCATATCATGATTTAGAGATACCTTTTTGGAAATATTTTTAGATAAATTTCACGAGTATAATCACAATTCTAATTGTCTCATTCTTATGCTACTTGCTTAATGATATATATTGTGTCTATATATATATGATGTGATACAATTTAGGAGGTAGAAGTCGATTCATATTTAATAATTTACATATTTGATTTACAATAATATCCACTAACTTACTTTTAGTCAATATCAGATGCAGAGCTTTTCATGCTGTTTGAGCCTGCCAATCTGAAATTAAAGAAAGCCATATATTTACAATTATTAAAGCATTTCAAAAATAATTTTTTGATTATTGGCATGTCCATCAATAATTTTCTATGTTGGAGCACAGGTAAAAATATTTGGAGCAAACAGTAAATGGTTAGTTGCAGTAAAATAATTTTGCATCTGGTTCATCGATTAGATAAAAATTGCATCATCATAAGTAGATCAACTATAAAGCGCAAGAATATGAACAGATGGCAAAATTCAACCTCCGAAATAGCAAACAGCTTAATTGTTGAGTTAAGTGCTCTCTAAGCTTATTCAAATTTTTAGCAAAATAACCTTTTTTTTTAATATTGTGACAATATCAAACGAATTCCATTTAATTTAATAAATAATAAACCTACTTCTTTATATAAATACATCTTAAAAGTAATAGAATTTTCTGATATTTTAAAGAACTACTTAATTTTTTTTAATAAATTGACAATTAATAACCTCGCTTTATAATGCTTATGAAATTATTGCCTCCAAAGATTGGAATAAAATAGATAATTCCTTTAGATTAAAGCAAGTTCACTTTAAATCTATTTTTATAAAATCTCTTAGTTTTGTTTTGATTCTTTTTGATGAAATTTAATCTAGGTTTTTATAAGCAATGAAATCCACTTAACATACAAGGATTGTTAAGATATCAAAACATTTACTAAAATAAATTAAAAATATGATGAGAATAATTAAATCATTCCAATTTCTATGTTTTGATTAATTGAACAGATATGGTAACTCTAGTAAGGGTAGCTCCAAAAGTTCTTCTCCTGAAGTTTAATTTGTAATTGCGTTAGATTGTTATATGCATGCTTGGTGGTTAATGGTTGTGCTTAAAATAATAACTAAAAATGCTTATTTGATATTAGTTATTAAGAACTTCTTTGGTTTTAAATAGCTGCTAATATTTAAAATTAGTTTAGCGTTGACTTTCGGTTTGGCAAATGGAGATTCATACTTTGGTAAGGTACCTCTGACTTTGATAGATCAATACATGTCTTAAGTCTCAATAATCAATTTACCAGATCTAATTTATCCATACTCATGAGGTGTAAAAGTAATGATGAATTAAGTGTCTTCTCAATACGGTTAAATTCTCCATAATTTGGAGGAACTAAAAATTCTTAATCAGATAATGGAGTGAAGTATGCTCAGAAAGTAGCTTGATGCTTAATATAATTAGTTATTCTAAATGAAACACTAGTGACTAATGCTAATGATAAGATCATCTACGTCAGGTTCGGTAGCATCCAGACTCATGGAGGATATCTAAACACATCCAATATCTCTTTTGGATAACAAATCTATAAAACACCAGGCAATGAAAACTTAAATTCTTATAAGAATGAGATTCTGCATTTAGTTTTAAATTACATAAATTTTCCAGTTGCAAACGATTCAGTGTGTCCAGTAATAGGTTATCTCCATTTAATCTATTTACTCATGGCAACGAGCAACTCACACTTATAAGATCTGATACTTCTAAGAGTAGGCAAAATCATCTGATTCAATCATAATTTGCACATAGATTGTATCTCTGAATGGATTCTTTAAATGGATTTCATCTAAAAAATCCTTAAAAATTCTGGGAATGCATTTGGAGGTATTCCAACTCCATAAACCAAAAATTCCCAATTTTCGATTTTCTCTGTGATGAATCTTATTTCCGCATTTTTAATTTAGTCAAGACTGTTTGGAGTAAATTTTATGTACAGACTTGTATCACAATAAGGTTTCAAGACTATATCAGCAGGTAACACATCAAAATTAGCAGGATTACTAATTTGAATTTGCACATTAACTTCTTTATCGATAGGATTTTCTAATTGAATTTCACATTCTTCGAATTTGCCCTAAATCGTCTTAAGAAGAGGGATTTTGATATTCTGTCTTTTCGGATATTAAACTCGAATTATACCACATCTCCCCCAATTTTGCATGAATAACACCAATAACTCTTTTTTTCTTTTCTGGCAAAAGTGGTAAATAATAGAGCTCATATATCGAACACATTTAAGCTAAAATAGTGAAGTCTTGCTGCCATGTAAGTTGTCACCTTCAATTCTCCCCTCAAAGGTTGCCTGTTCAAATGGCATAGGATTGCTGAGCTCTATTTCAAAAATATCTGGTTTTCTCACTTGAGTTGAAATTTTTACTTTCTTTCAGAAATGGGAGGATCAGTATCTAATACAACAGTATATCAAATATATTCACCATTTTCCTCTTAAAATGTAATAGATCCATAGTATTATCCACTTAGCTTTGGCTTAACTGATAATTCATCAAGATATTTTCTTTGAGGAGCATTTAATCTCCTTGCATTGATCAAATCAGTTCCTACTTTGTATTTCATTTCATTTTTAAGAATAATTGTTCAACATGATTTCTGTTTTTGTTTTTCATCTAGCATTGCATTAGAGTACAATATTTGACTAGGCTAAAGGTTCTTCTCTTATTCCTACTATTGTGTAATCATAGATATTATTTTTATTTACATTTATAATATGTAGATGAGCCTCTACCTTAGACATCAATTTTGGTGTAAATTGTAATTTGATGTCAATCATAGTTTTCTTCTTCAAAACATAATCTTTTTTACCCTCCAATAAATATTGAACTATGTCATGATCATTTTATGCGATTAACACATTCAACTATGAAAAGCAAGTTCATTCTTAATTTAATAGGAACTTGAAAGTCCAAGCTTTATCATTTGGATTTGAAAATGGAATGTCTTGAACTATGCTCTCTTGGCAAGGCAGTCACTAAAAACTTGTACCTTCGTACATCTGTTTTATCGTTGCTTCTAAGAGTCGTAATAATTGGTATCTCCTAAACTGGATTCTTGAAAAGAATGTGTAAAGGCATTTTATTAACATCAGGCAGCACTACTTAGGGGCTGTCAAGAATCCAAAGTGATTGCTTAATTCATTTTCAAATTTAATAGTTTCAGGTTCACCTTTAGGTAATGATAACTATTTTTTACTTGTATATTGGCATTGATTTTCATTCATTTTTTGAGGCTAATCAATGAAAACTTGATATGGTTTTATATCTTATTAGATTTTAGGTTATTCTTCAGTAGCCAATATTTCATGTTGAAATCCCTGACATTTGGTTCTGTAAATATAAGACAATAACTCTAATATTTTAAGACCATGGGCCGGCACCCTTTTTCAATTTTGACAATTTCAAATTAACAGAAATTGAAGGAAAAACTTAATTTTATTATTCAAAATAATTTGGATTTTTAAAAACCTTGAGTTGCTTGTATCTCCAAAAATCAAGATTTGTATTAATTAAATAGGTTTTCGAATAAATAAGAAATGACTTCTAATAGTTTAATAGTATTCAAAAGTAAGATATTTTACAATCAATAAAAGGGACGTAAGAGCATTATGGCTCTATATGCATTTCAATTCTAACAAATTATTTAAGTTGAAATTTTACTCTACTTATGAAAATGGGGAGATAATAGTAAACAGAAGATGGATAAATATTAAGAGTGTAAATTTATCACTTCTAGCATAGTGATTTAGTCTAGGAGGAATAAAATGATGTAATTTTAGAGAATAATAATAATAATTTGGTGCTGAACAGTTAATCATTAATTGGATTG